GCAAATCTTGAACTTCTTCCTTTTTTTTTTTTTTTGAGACAGTCTCATTACGTTGCCCTCAGAGTGCTGTGACATCATGGCTCACGGCAACCTCAAACTCTAAGGCTAAGCAATTCTTTTGCCTCAGCCTCCCACGTAGCTAGGACTACAGGCACCTGCCATAACACCTGGCTATTTTTTTAAGAGATGAGGTCTTGCTCTGGCTCAGGCTAGTCTCAAACTCATCAGTTTGGGCCATCTACCCACCTCAGCCCCCCAGAGTGCTAGGATTATAGGCATAAGCCACCAAGTCTGGCGATAAGTCTTCATTTCTTCTAAGTTACTTCCACATACAATCAAGGAAAAGGCAACTTTCTGTTATATGTGACCTCTAATTGAAATTATGTATATATATTTATAAAGTTTTTTATTTTATGATTCTAAAAAAACTTGGAATGATACAAGTTTTTATATAGTAGTTTAATGACTTTCATTACATAGTTACCATTTTTCCATTGATTAACCATATTTCCACAATTTAAATGAATGAATTTTGTTATGTCAAATTTTCCTCTCATAGGTTTCTTTCTAAAAATCAAGCAGTATAAATTATACATCCTCATGAAACCCATTGTTTGGAAAACCAACGTGTCATGTGCAAATCAGTTATCATTTCAAAATTTTATTGGAACCAAAAACTAGATGTTTGTACTGTATTATTTGAAATAATTCTATTAAATTTTATTTTCTTAATTATTCAATTTACAGTGTGCTACTAAACTTTATTTCAAGAGAAATTTATTTTAAAGAGAATTATTTTTAAAAATTTATATATATTCATCGGGTACAAGTGCAGTTTTGCTACATGGATATGTTACATTATGGTAAAAGAGAATTCTTTATGAAAATTTGAGACAGTTTGAATCTAGCCCTTTTTTCCTATTCTTTCAAAATCATGTATTCTCAACAGTAATGCCAATGATTATGGAATATCAGTTTATGTATCAGTTTAAGTATTCTCAAGTTATGCCAATGATTATGGAATATCACACTGTTAAAATATTAATATTCAATACTTTATACATAGAAATATCAGTGAATTCTCTTTTAGTTTAAAATATTATTTATTTGAATAATGACCACCACTGCAGAACAATGCATTAACTTTTTTGTATATGACTTGAAAGTCTAAATGCTAGCATTCATGTTTATACTTTAACCTCTATTTTTCCTCTGTATTATTAGTAAATTTTGAGATTGTAGAACTTTTGACCCAGTCATACACATACAGAGGTTGGATTCTGAGTTAATTAAATATGAGTTAATAATATATTATAAGGAAATTATTGTCCTTATTACAGTTATTAGGTAGTTACTCAAATTATAGCTTGAAAGGAATGCAGAACATGGAAAACTCAGATTAAATTATGCATTTGAACCTTAGGCCAGTTTTTACTGTAGAGACAGTTTGCTGCTAAAAGAGAAATTGTATGTCATTGAAATTAAATGCTTTTCTGGGGATGGAAGATTCCAGTTTTTAATGAAATTACTGAGTGTGGTGTAGTGAAATGATTAAAATCTGTATTCCGGGAATGTGGCAGGGAAAAAAAATCAATAAGTGCTAGCACAGCTTTGCTGCTCAATGTGAATCCTGAAAATGAAATAAACTACTACAAAAATAATAATTAAAAACATATCAGCACATTAATTTATTTAGCATCTAGTCTCCTGAGACATCATCTTCACTAATTTTTAGCATACATTTTACTATGTAATGAGCAGGCTTCTTTTCAGATATCCCTATTAGACAGGCAGTATTTCTGCCCTTCCCCCAATGCTCCTGCATTGCAATCATTGTACTTGCACTTATTATGTTACAAATGACCGAGGTAAGGCTGACATTCTCAGTGCAAGCAAAAAGACCTAGTCTGCCAAGCTTTTTTTTTCCCTAATGAAGCAGCTTTGTGAAATCTCCCCATGTGTTAATACTAATGAAGATCCTCCAGCACAATTAAAATCACAGCCAGTGGCTGAAGAGGAAACATAAAACAAAAGCATCTTTTATGATACATTTATCCAAATATATATGTATAAAATACACATATACGGTCAAATTATGTCCCTATAGCTTAATTTGTACATTCTTTTCATCCTGAAAATTAAATTATGTAATTTTTAATGGTAAGAACTTAGATACTTTGTTGGGTCTGAAGGAAATAACGCTACTTCAGTGAACTTAAAAAATTACCTATCATGGGTAGTAAAGTGTTATCAAGGTTAAGGCTTTTTGAGAAATCGTTTTTAGGAAGCTGTAGGATGGGGTGCAGGAAGGGATGGGTGTACTTTACCTTTAGTTTAACTTGATTTGTTGCAGGCTGTGGGAATTGGGGTTCGGGGAGGGAAAGGGTAAAAAAGAGAGAAAGTTGCAAGAGATTCTGGGGGTAGACAAATAGCATAACCTCGTGTGTAGTTTAAACATGGAGCGATGGGCTACCAGTCTTGCGCCTAACTTAATTTGTTTTTAAATGTTCAATTCCTACAATTAGCTATGCTTTTTTCTAACCCTTCAGAAACTGGCGGGGGCTGGGGATGGCGGGTGGCGGGACTATATAGATTACCTTTAAAGTTTGTACTTGTAACTTTAAACGATTTGTTATTTTAACGTCTCTCATTTAAATTTTATTTTAACACAATGCATAAACATTACAGCTAGTTTACTTTGAACTTAAAAGGGCAGTAGCATTTTACCCTGGGACCATCTTGCATCCTGCTTTTTATTTTGAGTCCTAATATCTAAAAATTCTCAACATATTGAGTTGGTTTGTAGACTTCAACAGAATTGAGTTTAGGAACAAAAAAAGTTTAGGTGAAGATGGTTACCCTGTGCTCCTTATTCTCCAGTTTTCATTTTCAAAAAATTAAGTTACCCTGCTTTCGGTTCTCTATTCTTTTAAAAACAAAACAAAACATTTTAAGTTTCTTAACTTTTTTCTGGGACAAGGAACGGGACAAACTCAAAGCTACAGTATTCTTGGAAAGAAGCAACCCCCCTCCCTTGGCTTCTTTAGGAGCTGATAGGTCATTTATTATTGGAACAGAAATGGTATAAACAATTCTCTCTCCTTTTCCCCTTGTTAACAGCAACTTTCATTGTTAGAGGAGAGAGAGAAGCCTTGTTGGTTGACGTCACTTGGTTCATGAAGCCTTCGCCTAGAAGTGAAGCTGCTGAACAAACCTTGAGAAGAATCATCTCCTGCTTCAATCTGCTGCTGGATAGGAACTAATCAGAGAGAGAGAGGCGGAAGACGGAGAAGGAAGGAGTCAAGGGCTTTCCCGACCAGAAATCTCACCTCCACTCCAACTCTCTTTATACTTTTTTTGCAGAAATAATAATACAAATAAGGAGGTGGTAGGGTTCCCAAAAATCTTTACCTTCGACCATCTAGGGAAGGCAAATATTTTATCCAGCGCAACTCTCAGTTCGAAAGTAAAGGTGAGTTTAAAATCCTCGGGTGTAAGGGGTGTGGGTGAAGAAAATTCCAAATGTTCTAATGCTGGTATAAGAGAAAAGGAGAAACTACGCTCCCGCGAGCGGAGGACTCCGGAGTGGCTTATCTGGAGGCGCCCGCCCTGTTCGCCCTGCTCGCCCTGCCGCCGCTGTTTACCCTCGCCGGTCGGTGTGTCTCTTTGTTGTGCTGGCTGGAAGGCTGGGGTGGTTCTTGGGGTCCTGAGTGGAGTTTGAGGGAGGAGGGCGCGGAGATGTGCGGTCCTGGGTGGAAGGTGGGGGGTGCGGCCTCAAGAGAACGTAAACTTTATTCCTGGCAGCCGGTGCGGGACTTCGGTCTAGTAGGGTCGCGGGCCATGCTTCCCCCAGCCCGGCAGGCGCTGCCGCCGCCAGTCCACCTCCTTTGTGCCGGCCGCCTTTCTTGGCCACCCGGCTTCGCGTCTCCTTCCTCCTCCCCTTCGGCTTCTAGCGCTCAGGTCGCCGCCAACAGTTTTGGGTCTTAAAAAACAACCTCTGTCAGCATTTGCGATCGCCGTTCCTATATCGCGGAATATCCTCTGCTCCCCCACTCCCGGCTGGGGTAGTTTCAGTATTGCTCCCCAACACCCCACCCCCGTCCGCCTACTGCTGCCCTTTTTTGCCTCCGCCCCCTCTTTCCCCTTGGACTGACGAGCTGCGTCTGCCACCCCTACTCCCCAATTCGGGCCTCTTGCTCTCCCTGTGTAGATAGACTCTAGTCTGGAGTTCCCTGAAAAGGAGCGGAGGTGGGGGGTGGGGCAGATGGGACTGGGAAAAGACCTGGATACCTGGGAAGGTCTGTGTCAGAACCGAGAAGGTTTGAGGAACGTTGCTTCTACTGTAATGACTGTGAACTGGTCTCATGTAGTAGCTCTTCCCGGGGAACCGCCGCCTGCTCGAAACTCCAGCTTCCCTCTTTTTAATCTTCTTGTCGCTCCCCTCCCCCTTTCTCTTTCGCGGCTCCCCTCCCCTTAAAGTAGTTCCAAGGACCCCAGAATTGGGATTTGGGAAGGGAAGGAAATGTTTGAAGAGTCAGAGCTGGCCCTGTTGTTTGGAAGATTTTTTCTTCTTTTCTTTCTGTCGCTGTATTTATCTTTTGTGTGTTGCTTCCTTATAAAGAGGGAAGCAGCTGCGGTCCTTGGCCGAGTTGTTGAAATTTATCCCTTTGTGTATATTACAATATCCTCCATTTTTTTCCTGCCCTCTAAACAACAAGCGTTTCGCCATCTTGGGCAATTTTAATTCCCAAGTCTCTATCTTTTTTATTTTTAAGGAAGGGAAAAAAGCCTCAGAAAGGCAAAAAGTGATAAGGTTCAAAGTTTGGGGTTTGTTCAGGGGGCCCAATGACGTCATGTAAACTTTATCGAGAAATTTTCCCAAGAGTAAATTTTTCGCTTAATTTCCCCCCTTTTAAAAGAATTGTGTAACTTACAGGTTAACGATTAAGTCATATAGCTTATTTTTACGGTTTGCTCTCAAAACCAATCGGCAAAGTCTGCACATTTTATGTTTTGCTAACAGGTGGAAAATTACGTGCAAAAAAATGGTATAAACTTTTTGGTGTTATTTGGTATTTGCCTAGTTCTTGTATACGTGTTTTTTATTCTTTAAAGATTTTAAATGTTATTTGTAATCAGTATATTCCTTTTATTTGCTCAACTCTCCCCTATAGATTTTTCTTTAATTAGCTTGGTTAATATTTACCTACGCTTATATTTGATTACCTAGTTTCTTTTTTGTAATTAAATGTTCTGGGTTTTGTATATTTCTTTACATTTTTGAAAAGATAGAACTATTGAAATTTCCTCTAGATACTGGGTACTTTTAAAATTTAGTAGCAGATATTAAGTCTAACAATTAACGAGAATGTAAATAGGGCAGAATTGAATTTAAATATGTTTTATAATATCTAGCTATAAACTGTCAGCCATTATGAAAATGATAAACAATAAAAAAAAGAACTAGTGTTTTAATTCGTTTCTGTAAAATAGTTGTTAGTCTCACAAAAGTTGGTTTGGTCACATGACCAAACTTAATGATACACTGACTAGTATATAAATAAGTGGCACTATAAATTGAATGGGAACGTGGAATTCTGTCTCCTGTAGTCATTTTCAGTCAGCATATTTACATCTCTTCTAACAAGGACATGAAACTGTCTGTATTTAATTTGCATTCTCTTTGTCTTCTGGGTTGAGGAAAAACATTGACTACAATTAACTTAAAAAAAAAAAAGCCAATAGAAACAATTCTGAATACGTTGAAAAGGTTTGTCTAACACATAAAAACTTACGTTTTAAGTGTTACGTTTTTATTTCTGTAGCAGTCTTCATTGGTCTTATCTGCTATTTATCCAGGAATTTGCTTTATGTAAAATGCTATATGGAAAGCTTGACTGAATTGAATGTCTGCCATTTATGTGAATTGTAGGTAGGTGAAAAATGTTTAAATAGTTAAAAGCACATAGAACAGATGGTTCTAAATTATACATGCAACAAAGGACTAGAAGATTTGGCAGATTATAAATGGCAAGCAACAGAGGATAAGCAGTTTAAGAAAATGGTAGTTAAGTACATTTGATGTCTCACACCTATTGTAAACACTGTACATATTATTGTCACTGCTGCTTAATCAATAATTTTAGACAATATTACGACATTACTTCAGATAGAAAAAAGTAAGATTTTATAGATGTTTGAAATGCGTGGTTGAATGTAAAATTATTTTAAGCCTATGTGATGAATGTGTATTTTTTAAATAAAATCAGATTGTGTGCTTTAAAAACAGGAAGTTATTTATCAGAACTTAATATTGCTGTGTTCATATAATGCTTTGGAGAGAAACAGGAGAGGGTACATATTTTAAAATCCAGATAGTATCTTTAGCTGTTCTTATATGTAAAACTAGTGCTATAGTAACATTTACTCTTTTAAGCACTAATGAAAAAATAATTTTCATTGTCCAGTCTTAGAAATGCATTCATTAGAATAGTGTTGGCATCATTTATTTAATACTTATTTTAAAAAGAAAGGATATATTTTAGTTTTAATTTTTGAGTATTATATATAACATGAAACAAATTTTACTTGAACATAATTTACTCTGATTTTTTTTAAATGTAAAGATTTTTATATACTTTTTGTCTTTCTGGAAGGCTTTATTTAAATATATTTAACATTTTCAAAAATTTAGAATAATAAAGTACTCAACTTGGTAGAAATTTTTTATTTTTTGAAGCCATTTATTCAAAATGGGTTAAGACTGTATTAGAAACCTTGGAATTTTAATTCTGTTGCCCTTTCTCCCATTTCTTTGTTTGCATGTTTATTATAGAACTGCAGTGTAAAGGAGCAGATGTTTTGCCAAACATCCTGATGTGTTGCTTTTTCTTATGGGAGTGCATAACTGTTCCTTCTGATGCATCAACTTGACAGCTGGTTGATTTCATGGAGCTGCTAAGAAGCCATTAGTGGTGTCATTGAATTGAAACAGAACAGTCACTCCCAGCTTGAACTGCAATTGTTAATGTCTTTGTTGCTACTTTTGGTTTACTATACAAGATGTAGGATAGCACGGTTGTGTGAAAGTTCAAGATTTCTGTCTTACCTTTCTGAATATGTTGAAACTTCATTAGTGTTAGGTTTAAAGATTTTGCAAAGGGATTTTAAGTCGTAGTTTCTGAGATTTTTGTTAGAACTACCAAAAAAAGAAATACAGCTTAACATGAAATAATATAATAAATTTGACTCTTAAATTCTGTCACTAAGTTTTAATTATTTTTAATATACTTGATTTCCTGAGTTATTAATGAAATTACCTAGTTAAGTATTTTAAGGTTTTTATTACATGAAATCAAATATTTCTACCTTGATGTTTCAACAGTATTGTGCTTTATTTAATAAATATTGACTCATTTGGTTAAATGTCTCTTTAAACTTCCATTGCAAGAGATAGCCCGAAGAGAAAACAAATAATTATTGGGGAAATAGACAGTTTTGTGTTTAATTTTCCTTCATAATGAGGCAAAATTCACAACACCTATGATCTAAAATATTTTCTAGTAGCTACTTAGTAATTTTTAAAATTGAAATTATATTCTTATTATAGTAAACTTTTATTGATAGTTTCAGCTTTATACGATGGTACTAAAATTGTGTCCCCTTGGTGCCTAAGTGTTTCCTACTTTTTCTAATTATTTGATTTGGTTTTTGCTGTTAGGAGAGATGGGAAGGAGGAAGAATAAAGAATGATAACCAACAGAGAAAAATACATTTTTTAAAAGTTCATGTGAAAATCTTTAGGATAAGATTTAAGGATATAATGTAGTTTATTGATAATATGTTAAAAAGACTTTCTGGTCCCAATCTTTATACATTTTTTAACTTTTAGGCTTGTAGGTATATTAGGTGTTTAAACAATAATTCAAAGAGCATACAATTTATAATATTTAAAATAGTTTGCCACTTTAAAAAAAATGCTGCAATGGGAAGTTGATCAAAAATACATCATATGTTTGAGACTGCCTGTTAAATAGTTAACACAATGATATATTTTTGAGTGATTCCAGAATTATGGTTTTCTGAAATTATAAGTTTATGGAGACACTTTTCCTTTTAAGTAAGTCCTACATTACTGTGATTAAAGCTAAGATTTATATTCAGGTAATATGCTTTCTCAACCCTTTGTTAATAATAGCATACAACTCCTTAAAAAGAAAATCACTCTATTACTTTAGACTGTGGCTCAATTTTAAAGAAATATATTTACTGATTTTTGTGTCAAGGCAAATATTGATATAAATCAAATTATGGTATATTGGATGTGTGTTGAATATAAGCTATTTTTAAAAAAGGAATCTCAATACTTAGTCCATTCTTAAAGAGATTATACAGTCTGAATTGTAGTGCAAATAAGCATTCTGTAATTTTAAGTAGAAATTTTTAGGCATTGGGTTTCTTATAGGAAGGTAA